AAACTAATTTCCAAAAGGACAGCAACTGCCTGTTGTAGAAACCTACAAATGTAGAGGACGGCGTGTCGAAAGTCTTTCGCTTTTTGTCTTCAGGCGGAAGACTTTCGAAACGTCGTCCTCTACATTTGTAGGTTTCTACAACAGGCAGTTGCTGTCCATTTGAAACTTAGATTCAAATAAATTATTCATTTGGTAACTAAAAACCAAACCTACATAGGTAATAATTTTGAGACAGCTTGACTAGATAATGAAAGAACTTTACTATAAATGTACAATGTTTTGACAAGATGTTGTCATCCTCGTGTTGTCAAAACGTCGTGTTTTCCTTACCCAGTCATCAAGCTGTCTCAACTTTTCTAAAAAGTGGGTTCCTCATTACCAGGTACATAGGTCTCATTCAGGGAACGTTTATATTTGTACAGGATGTGTGTGTACAAACACTTCAATATTTAAATGCTTATAGTTCTAGGTGTGTATTGTAACATAAAAATTAATGACAACTACATATTTGTTATTCTGCACGTTTTACAGCCAAGTTTAGAAGATGACTTAGACAACCTATGTCAGTTTGTTAGACATCAGATAAGGAAGCAAACAATGGAAAAATATAGAATAGTAAGTATGCAGCTGAGGAAAACTTTCACTACATTTAAATAATTGCATTTTATTCCTATCATCTTAGTTTATTTTTTGAATTTTTCTTTTAAAGTAATAAAAGTATATTGAGATATTTGTATTTTCTTACATTTTATATTACTTGATGTTAAAGAAGATTTTAACGTGTTGGAAAAGTGAAAATCATCATATTAAAGCATAGTGAACAGGACATTTTTGAGTTAAAGTTGGCTTGACATTAGTTTGTACAAGTATTTTTTTATGTAATATTCAGATCAACAAAATAATTTTAAGTAATACCATTTAAGAAAATAATTCTGAACTAGGCCTATCAAACATTATTTCTGAACTAGGCTATCAAACATTATTTCTGAACTAGGCCTATCAAACATTATTTCTGAACTAGGCCTATCAAACAGTATTTCTGAACTAGGTCTATCAAACATTATTTCTGAACTAGGTCTATCAAACAGTATTTCTGAATTAGGTCTATCAAACATTATTTCTGAACTAGGCCTATCAAACAGTATTTCTGATCTAGGCCTATCAAACAGTATTTCTGATCTAGGCCTATCAAACATTATTTCTGAACTAGGCCTATCAAACATTATCCATTCATGTATGTTGACTTAAGCAGCAGTGTTGTATAGTTTGAGGGAAATAAACTAGTTTCGTAGTTTGTCTGAGCTTTTATATAACTGATATTGAACAGTTTTAAAAATGGTGATTTTAAAACCAGTTAGTTAGTGTAGATAACTAAATTATAACAAATAGCATTATGAGAGGGTTTTGGTAAAACAAATATTCAAATTGATAAATTTACTTCTTTTAAAAAAGACAACCAACTACATGAACTACTAGCTAGACATGATATCATTCTTTAATATCTGACTTAAAGAATGATATAAAGTCTAGCTAGATGGGTAGAACTTTATCTGACAAGTTCGAATGATATCAAGTCTAGCTAGATGGGTATTTAATATCTGACTAGAACTTGGGCAAGTCTAGCTAGATTATCATTCTTTAATATCTGACAAGTTCTACCTTCTACCCATCTAGCTAGACTTAAAGAATGATATCAAGTCTAGCTAGATGGGTAGTATCTGACAAGTTCTACCCATCTAGCTAGACTTGTTAAAGAATGATATGAACTTGTCAGATATACCCATCTAGCTAGACTTGATATCATTCTTTAGTATCTGACAAGTTCTACCCATCTAGCTAGAC